TGGGGGGCAGGATCTGGCACCTGGGGGGGCAGGAGAGGGGCATTGCCCTGTGCCCGGGGCCCCTGCAAAGCCGCTGCCTTGCAGCTCTTGGGTGCCGTTGCTTGGGCCAAGGGGCGAGGGGCAGGCAGCAGCATCCTCCACTCAGCCCTTCCCGGCCTTTTTCTTCTTCCCAAACCCAGCTGCCTGCAGAGCTCGCCCCCGTTCTGCTTTGGCAGAGATTGCTGTTTGCACAGAAATACAGGTCAGGTCGGGGAGCCAGCATTGCAAAAATGCTGCCTCGCCTGCAGCGAGCTGGAAGGCGTCCAGACTGCCCCAGGCAGCATCTGCTCACCTGCCTGCGGCTCCTCTGGCAGCTTTGCTTCCCTCCTAGCAAACCCCAGCGCCGTGATGGGAAAAAAACCCCCTCGTGTTGCTCGTCTTGCAGCAAGAGCCCTGCTTGGAAATGCTCTGGCTGCCCCACAAGGGTAAAAGCCCTGTCCAAGGGGTGGTTTTACGGGATGAATAGCAGCTGTGAAGATAGTAGCAGGGCTGCAGGGAGCTGCTGGCCATGCGGCAAGCAGGGGAGAGCATCCCGTCCCCATCCCTGTCACCCCATAAAAAGGGGCACCGAGGCAACCTCTTCTTCCCAGTGGACCGGTTTGCAAGGATGCCCGCAGCTCCCAGTGCCACCAGGTGCCGGCCGGCCCTTGGGATGTTGAGCTGCCAGCACCGACAGTGACTCCAGCAGACGTGAAAAAATGAAAGAAGGCCGGGTGTCCTCGGCCACTGGAAAGCTCTGGGGAGCCCTCGTAGTCCTCTGCATTAAATAACCCTCAGCGGGGTGTGGGGGGGTTAAATACAGCAGCTCCTGATTCACTCAAGGGCAGGACGTGGTGGCTGTGGGGCACCTCCAGCATCTTGCTCCAGCCCCCCAGTGCCATCCGCTGCCAAGTGACAGGGAGTTGGCCGCTGCGTCGTGGCTATGTGATGCTGATTCTGTTGTTTGTGGCGGTTGCAGCCGCTCTATGGAGCATGAAGGTGGCTGTGCCTGAGGTCCAAGGGCAGGAGAAGATGCTGGTGGAGCGTGGAGAGCCTCTTAGATGCTCAGCATGCTGGGGGGGGCTCCCTGCGGAGCAGGTCCAAGCAGGTTGACCTCCACAGACATCCAAGATGGATAAATCCACAGGAGGAGCTGGTGATCCTGGTCCATGCTGGTCTCAGAGCTGCAGGCTGGGGAGGAGGGATGCTCCTGAGGTCCACAACCTCAGTGGTTGCATCCTCTGAATTACCATGTCCTGCACATGAAGCCTGAGGTCAAGCAGGGATCTGGTGTTGCCTTGGGTGGAGGGACCCTGCAGTGGCCTCTGGGGACCCGGCCCACACTGCAGACACAGCCCCGAGCATCCTCCTTGGCTGCGCTGCAGGATGTACCAAGCCAAGATGAGTCACCCCTGGATGAGCCCCCTCTGATGCCATCAAAGTCCTTCATCCGCCGTGGGCACAGAGCAGGACGAGACCCCGCCATCTGCCCGAAACCTTTGGGGCTGGGACATGGGGGTGACTGCAAGAAAAACTTGGGAGGCTTGAAAGAGCCTCTGGGAAGATACAGAGATGTTGGTGTCTTGACTGGTCTCATCCAACCATCTTCATGCCCCGTGTGACAAGGACGTGTCTCCATCCCCAGGTCCCATCCCCAGCTGCTGCGCTGTGTGAGCGTGAGCCCTGACCTGCTGCCCTCCTGCCTCGACGCGGGAGGACGGGGGGCTGTGGGACTCGCCCAGGGATGGCATTTTCTGAACCACTGTCACTTCTGTGTCCTGGCCAAGTTGCAGGTTGATAACTTCAAGCAACCAAAATTCCTGGCCCAGGTCCCCTTACAGCACGAGCTCAACCAAAACTGTCTTTGGGGTTTGCTTGTTTTGCCTCCTGCCTTTCACGAAACTTTTGTGGCATCAGGAAGATGCCGAGCTCATTAAAAATGCAGGGAGTGAGAGTAATCAGTGCATCCCGTAGCCGTTTGACTGCAGGGTCTGGCTATTGGAGAAGTTCTTGGGGATGCTCAGGGGTGGCGTGGGCTCGCAAGAAAGCATCTGCAAAACCTCCATTGACAGGCACCAGGAACGTTTTCCAGCTGAGTGTTGCCTTTGCTGTTGCAATTTGGCCTCTGATTCACAGTAATTGGTGCATTTACAATAAATAGGTGTTTTGTGCCCATTGCAGACAAACTGCACCACCGAGAGTCACTCCTTGCACTTTTAAAGTGAGTTTCTGATGCGTGTGGCTGTGGAAAACACATGCAGGGTTTCAAAGTCCAGGAAGGACCCCCCAAAAAGCCCCAAACCAGATAAAAAATAGACCCCAAGCTCCGCAGCTGCAGAAGTGTTATTTACTGCAGCTCTTTGCCTGGCCAGGATGGATCCCAGCGGCTCTGCCTCCAAGAGGTTGATCCTAAAGGTTTTACTCCCAGTTTGGGATGTCGCCCAGCTTGCCGTGGACGAGGATGGGCGTGGGGGGAGAGGATGAACCCACCGGTGAGCCGGCAAAGGGGTTCCTCCAGGCACCCCGTCCCCTGCGCGGCTGCCGGGGGGTCCTGCTGCTCCCAGCACTGCCGGTGACGGATGCTTTTCTGTTTGCTGTAACTTTTTGCATTCCCACTGCAAATGCTGCTGTTGGAAGGGATGAAGGATGAAACGAGAGGTGATGCTCCCAGCTAGCCCGGGGACCCGGGATGCTGCGGGGAGGGGTCGTGCCGCAGCCCAGATCAGTTCCTGGGGCCGGGGTGACA